AACAAGAAGTATCCTCTGTCCGTTACTATAATGCCTAAAACGCCTTATTATTATCCTTCTATTACTAATATTATTATTGTTTGTATGATTCTCGGAGATTTTCGAACTTTTATTTTTGCCGTCATCCTGACGAGTAGTCTTCAAAGGCTCTTCACTGTTAATCTGATCATCTATGATGCCATTACCCAAATAATATCGGATCACACTCCCCATTTTGCTCAATCTCTACTGTGAAATGAGCGCTACATATATACACACACCTGCCACAACAAAAAGTAAATAACAAAATAATAATAATAAAATTGAGGAGAAATTTGTAACGTCTCTTCTTTTTTTTTTAATTATTGTTCAGTTTTTTTTTTTCCCCAAAAAGGTGAAAAATGGCGGTCAATTAAAGAGGCACCTTCTCCTGTCCATTGATCTTCCCAAGTACTTGAATTTTCTTTTTTTTTTTTGCACGAGTCTCCAGAAATGAAAGAAAAATCTAAAAGAAATGCGGGTTTAAATTCGAACAAAAACCTAATTAACAAGTAAATTACATAAGATTGCAACAAATGGTAAACAATTTATTAAAGTTTTCGAAGTGTTACTGAGTAAAAGGGGCAAGACCAGCAAGAAACCCAGAAAAAATCTCACTGTATTTGCTTGAACAATAATGCTCCCCTACCCACATGTCGCATAAGCTGTCGGCATATTAACATGTGTCTACCATGGGTAGTGGAACATTTCCGTAGGCATATTAACATGTGTCTACCATGGATAGTGGAGCATTTCCGTAGGCATATTAACATGTGTCTACCATGGGTAGTGGTTTCCGTGGACATATTATATACCGTAGCTAGAGGAGCATTTACGTGTATATGAAAGTGTTCCAACAAGATGAATGTGTTCTAAACATACACCCCATACATAATTCTATCGTTACAAACTTACAATACAATGAGACCTTGTTTTAGTAAATTTATATTTATAATAATATAAAAAGGTTTGATGGAAGAATATTTTTTTTAGCAAGTTTTGATTAAAAAAAAAAAAAAAA